ATTTGTATATCCTTGAAAACAACCCCCGAGACATCAATACATGCATGCTGCCAAAGTAGGTGCCACTTTAGACTCAAAAATCAATGGAGAGGAAAATATTTCAAGGAGGTTCAAATAAATTTCAGCCGTGTCTTGCTAAATAGGTCATCCACTGAACCAGACAACTCAATTTCAGCATGCCCAAAAGACACAGAGCAATGAAGAGAAATGGAGCAGCCTGCTGAAGAAACAGTCGGTTTATGTGGCATATAGTAGCACTTCTGTCAATTATTACATGATAGCATGGGACATGTGGTGTGTGTGGGCTAAGATGCTTGATGAGAGGTGTTGAATAATTTAATTTTGTAAAGTCGGCTAAAGAAATCAATTTCAGCAGGCGAGACTGTTAATGAGGCCTTAACTAGGTTAATGATTCCCATTGGGAAACAAGACATGGACAAAGACAAAAACTTGGAAAGGAGCTTATTTCAGTCTTTTTTTCTTTAGTAAAGAGACTTCAATGAATACGCGTTTACTACACGTTTATCGCCTTATAATGTATTGCACAGGCCTACGTTTCAACCTCTAGTTCACAGGAAAATAGGGTTGAGATAATGTAATTTTTTTTTGTGGAACACATTTGCTCTTGCTAGTGCACATACACATGATGGATGCTTCTGTTCATGCCAAAGCAGTCCAATGTGCAAAGAACTGCCAACCCAATTCTTTTAAGCCAAGTCACCACCCTTTGGCAGCAATTGCACATCTTTGAAAATAGGAGATTATGTAGTAGTAAGCTCCTTAAAACCCACTGAATGACCAAAGATTGGACTTTTAAGAGCAACCTTTTTAACTATTAATAGGTATTTGATCATGCTAAATATTTGAAAAAAATTCTTTTGGTTGTTTTTGTTGGATTTTTTTTTTTTGTGATTCATCAAACTAATTCAGTCACATTCCAAAAAGTACAGTAGGTTAAGATGGTCAGTATGCATTTAAAGAAGAATGAGCTTCTTAAGTATGTCCAATTTTCCCGGGTTTTTAGTATCGTTCCACAGTCCACATACTTCCAGTCTCAGCTCTGAGTGGGCTCGATTTAGACAATCAAGACACATCACTCTGCTGACATCATAGCGAATGCGATGGAAATCTCTTCGATAATCATTCCTCATTGCATCGTCAAGCTCTCACTGGACATTGTCTTCAGCGACCAGAGAAAAGATGTTCTGCTCCTCCTAGTTTGTCCATGACCAAGCTATTTTTCTTTACACAGCAGGGAAAATAAAGAGAGAACGTGTTGTTGGCTATTATGAAGCCACGCAATTGATCCACATATTTGTATCAAACATAACAATGATTATTTCCGGTCAATCTGTGAGCTCAACAGGTGACCATTCAGCAATGAACAGGATGTATCATGCTTCTCATTCCAATAAAAAGAAAATGTCAGCTTGTCCCAGTGTTTAGAACCTCATTTATACAGGTACCAAATAAGTACTGCTAAATGGTTTTGTGATTTTGGTAAAAAGCCCCCAAAAGCATACAACTGTGGAAAAGTAACATAATAGGTAATAAGGATTTTTTAGACCTTAGAATTTTTCTTAGACCTTCTCCACGTGAACATGTTGTTTAGAACTCAAAATGTTACATGGCCAACAATGCAAGAATTTACAAGAGTCGGAAGCTTTTTTGCCAGGAACCAACATAAAAGATTAAGAACCTCAACAACTATCCCAAGAGACTTCAGACTGTTATGATGTTAAATAATGGATTAGAAAACTCTAAGACAAGTTATAACATTTAAACCCTGACAAGTTATCAAACCTAGAGTTTATTTTGATCTAAAAAGAGTGTTTGTTTGACAATAAACGGCTTTACTCAACTACTAACTATGAGTGGGAGAAAAAGTGTGCTATCATTTATATATTCTGAAAAATACAATTGTATCTTGTTTTGTCTACTTCTTGTCTTTTATCTTCATTCTTTAGGATTAATGATGTCGTTGTTATTGTTGCTCTTGTTGTTGTGAATTTGTACAGAGCGCCACCAAGCCGTGGATTTATGTCCCAGCATTAGTACTTTCACAAACAAACAAAACGTTTCCAACTTCCCTTTGCCTTGTGGTAAATATCTCACAATATTTTTTGAATTCTCATGTTACCATCTTCTGTTTGGACATAAATATTCACCAATAGTTGCATATGAATTTTGGGTGTGTGGCAACCTTAAGTGTATTCAGTGTCTCTGTCTGAATGGTCTCCATCATGGAAACTAAAAGCCCCTAGGCAGAACGTGAGCAATACTCTCAGCCATATTTACATGTAAGCTTAATGGGATGTTTATTTTGGTCTTCTCTTCACTATGCTATTTTAAACCTCCAGGCATGCTAAGAAGATCAATACAAAGCCATTCATTCTCTATTCAGCTTTATAGGTCAAGATAGACCTCAACGTCTGACTCAGGTGCTTCAAGTGAGAAAAGTACTACAGTGCTCTTAAAAAGAAGATAAATAGAAGTAATAACTTGGATTTTTGAAATGTTAACAACCAGCCTTTGCATATTTCCAGTAATCCCAACATGTGACTCTTTCTCTCTTCCGGAGCCATAAATGTCAGTGTTGTTTTGCTGTCATCTGAGATGGCGGGCTTCTGTTCTGTATTTCTCAAGCTCAACACACTCATTTAAACTACCTCTTGAGATGCTTTGCTTTTAATAGAGACACAGACATGAGCTCCTCTGCTCATGGGTGCACTGGGATCTCCGTGGGAATGCATGCTTCAAACATAGATCACTAGTTTAATGTACAGTTAAATTATACAGCTTTATATTATAATCTTTATAATCATCATCGCGCTTTGTAGTGTTATTTACAATAGCTATTTTTAAATGACTAAACTAATGATTGACTAAAATAAGTATCATTTAACATTTTTTTTATTATTTTTTTTCTTTACTTTATAAGTAGAATTAAGGATTCAAAAACATTTAGAAACTATTGTTTTCTTAACTAGTACTGTGTTTCATCACCAGAGAACTGCAGTTATGTCAAGTTTACGTTTTTTAAGTTATATTGTCTGCGATGGACTGGTGACCTGTCCAGGGTGTACCCCTGCCTCTCTCCCAATGTGTGCTAGAGATAGGCACCGGCAGACCCCCATGACCCCCAAAAAAGGGAATTAGCGGGTTAGAAAATGAATGAACGAATGAAGGAAAAGTTATATTGTCTGCAGTTTTTTCTTGTAATGCTTTGATAACACCGGCTCTGTTTGAGTTTGTTGTATGTTTATCAGTTAGTTTATATTTCCTGTTATCAAGTTTTGGTTAGGTTTTCCCCCTTTAGGGCTTCTCTGTTATTTTTTTTATGTTCAATAAACCTTTTTTAGCTCAACTCCAGCCTTTCTTTATCCGTATTTTTCCTTCAATCACCCAACATCCTGACATGTATATTCTCTACTAATTGTATGCATTATCTGCACTTTTAAAATAAAAAGTGCATTTATTTGCATCTTTAAAGTTAAATAAGTATTTCATTAAATAATTTGTTATTATGTCATACGGTTTTGTGACTAAATTGTTCGAAAAGCAATATCAGTCTGAATGGTCAATGGACGTGATTCTACGATGGCCTGGTGAGCTTAATATTGGCACTAGCACCTTGATGCATATTATTATTAAAAGGTGGATTAGATGATGGAGGAAAAAATCCCTGTTGGATAAAAAACAGCGAAAAACTGTCAACTGTGATCGCCAACATGATACTTTAAAATGCCCTACTGTTGGCATTAACAGCATGTTCACTATAAATCTGTTAAATTACTGTAGTTAAGCAAATACTAAACCTTCTAATATTTTTTTATTTGTTGATTTTAAAAATACTACACACTACTGAGTACTTTCCTGCAAAATGATTTGGAATTTATTTATTTACTTTGTTTTACTTTATTAAAATACATTTCATTTAAGTATATTCCTTTAGCATTTACAAGACTTGAATTATGTAAGTCTCTGACTGTTGTTTGATGTTTTTATTTTTGTGTAGTGTGGCATCAGATAATAGGTTATCTTCAGGGAAGTCACGCTGGCATCAGTGCACACACATATTTACTGTCACAGTCACAAACACACAGGCCAGCGCTCTTTAGTTTATTCAGATTGGATACTTTCACTGGCTTGCAAACACACAGTGCTTCTGATCAACCATTGCCTTCCGCTTAGATTACCAGCCTAATTGGCATTCATAAGTCTCATGTGATGCATGCGTGGGTTTGTCTGTTAGCGTGTCTGTGTGGAGTTCATTTAGTGAAGGAGCCAAAACAAGTACAGCTGATATCAAAATAGATCTGTTCCTATTTTTAGTTGATTTTCATTGTTACGCAAAGATTTAGGTATTTGTGTGTGGTTATGTACATTCTAAATAACCTAAACAACACAACATGTATTCCAAACCCACATAATTAGCAGTCGCGTGTGTGAAGAATGAGAAGCCAGCGGAGAAATGCAGAGGGATGATCTCAAAGACCACATTCAGGATCAGCCAAAGATAGATGTGAGAGTCACGATGAGGTAGTACAGTAGAATTCTGAGTAGAATACTGAAATAGAACCTCAAAACAATACACAAGAAATGTAAGGAACTAAATGTTTGTGAATGCTCAGCATAATATCGGCGTGTAGAATGAGTGAGAATTCTCAGACCTGAACTGAGTAAGAGGGGTCGGGTATATTTATATAGCGCTTTTATTTAGAAGACTCAAAGCAGTTTCACTGAAGGTTAAAGTGTAAATTAGTTCTACTTTGAGCATGTTTTCTGAGACATAAATGGTTTAGGAAAAGTTTTTAGTTAGTTGGAATTTGATGTCAGTACACAATCCTCAAACTCACACTATTTGCAAAACGTCACGGATTATGCCAAGGTTTCCCTGTATCATGTGGTTTTTCGATGGAAATCTTTTACAGAAAGAATCACCCTGTCATTTACATTTGGCAGCTGCTTTTATCCAATGCGACTTACATATTAATTAACACATCCTTTCCCTGGGATTTGAACCCATGACCTTTGCGCTGTTATCACAATTCTCTACCAACTGAGGCTGGTTGTGAATTCATTGTGTTTGAAAAATGAATACAATTGATTTTGGTGGATGGATAGATTTAATAATAAAAGTACTATTGTTATGTCTCATTTTTTTCTGTTTACATCATGCGTTTTTTGTGTTTTATGCTATTTGCAGTTTTTGCAGCAATCTATGTGTCCCTCTGTCCATCCATCCATCCATCCATCCATCCATCCATCCATCCATCTATCCATCCCTCCCTCCATCCATGTTTTTGGACTGTGAGAAAAAAACTGAAAACCCACACAAACACATGAGGGACAAGGCACTTTCTCTCAGTAAGTAGCTTTAGGTTTGTTTGGGAATTTTTACACTGATATGCCCCCTGTGTTTTGGCAAAATTTAGTCTTTCTTTCATGGCAAAACTTTATCATTTCACGTCACGTCAAGTTTTTATAACTTGATCTTCAATTATAAATCAACTACAGTGTTTTAAGTGTGTTTCTGTTTTTTCAGTTATATACTCAGAAAATGTAGGGGACATCAAATGGCAGTTTCTCTTAAGCTGATGGACATTTTGTGGTTATATAAAATGTGATTAAGCTATATTTAGGGCTCGAGCACCGAAGGAGCTCGGGCCCAACGGGCTCGAGCACCGTAGGTGCAAGAACCCTATTGTTTCTGTTAGGATTATTATTATTTATTATTATTATTATTATT